AATTGGCTTGATGGGCACTCTATTCATACCATACGGTCAAACTGCTCACACCACAGCTCAAAGGGTTACGATTCCATGACTGTGCTGGGCATTATATTTTAGACAGAAAACCAGCTGACTGCTTCTTCCCAAAATAGATATTGCATAGTTTTGGTCATTGTCCTGCGGTAAGAGAAATTGACTCTAATCATGTGCCATCCACAGGATATGGCATGGCCTTGCAAAATTGACAGAGCCTCCCTTTGTCAAGATCCTGTTTGCCCTTGTCACGATTGGTGTGGTGGCGTTGCTACACTTCCATTTCGGTGATCCACTTCCGTGTTTTTGTACTCACTAGCTGTGATTACTTCCTCTTTCACGTGGTCACAGCTGTTAGTAATCTGTCACTTTATCTGGGATATAAGAGGGTCGCGAGCAGTGCACTCGTTGCTTCGCATTGTTTCCATGTCACATTATGTTAGAGGTGAGTGTTGTTTTTGTATAGTTGCTGTTGTTTTGAATGTTTGATTATAAGACGCTATATATGCGCACTTAGATTTCAAGTACAACAGTTTTAGTGCTTTTTCGCCGTTTACGGTTTGTTTTTAAGTTCGTGTAAACCTATTCTAAAACGGATACATTGGCTCTGCACCTGGCTTCCTGCACTACACCCTACGGTTCGTGACAGCCCTGTACACATCTTCTACTTTACCATCAGAAAAGCACCCCCAGACCTTCACATTGCCTCAACCATGCTTGACAGATGGCGTCAAGCACTACTCCACCATCATTTCATTTGGTCTGCATTTCTTGAATGTTCTTCTTTGTGATCCTAACACCTTAAACACATTTTTTCTATCTTTCTCTGTCTAGGGCCTGTGTTCTTTTCTCCTTCTAATCTTGTTTTTTGATTGGCCAGTCTGAGATATGGCTTCATCTTTGTAACTGATCAAAATCAATCAGCAAATAATTGTATAGCACATCATGCACTGAGTTCAATGGAAATACACTAAAAACAGTCCTACCTTTCTGTCTGATGTATTGACCAGGTTTACAGCTGCTGTGTCTTTGGGCTGCTTTACAACCATCCTTATCTGGTTCTGTACAGTAGAACCCCTCCAGTGGTTCAAAGACAGTGTCTGATGAAGGTCTACATGACTGTTTAACCATCAAACCAAAGCCTGGGTCACAGTTTGTACAGGATAAACAAGCTGGACGACCACTAGGATGATCAATGTAGGTGGAGCCAATACAGGGGGAACAGGAAGTACTGGTAAACTCTGTACAGTGTTTATAGACCCGGTATCCTATGGAACAGTAAGTCAATATGTCATTAATGGATTAGTATGGACATTTTCTTCATCATAGTCTCTTTAATATACATGGATGGTCGTTACCTGGTGCACACATGGGACAACATTCATCACGTATTCTGTATTCAGCTGGACCACATGCAGAGGAGGACTTGATGTTTAGAAGAATACAATTCACTGCTAGACACATCTGTAGAGAGAGATGTTTAATACATAACAATATAAAAATGTATGTACTGTGAAGGGTGTGTGTTTTGTACATTCATCATGTAGCATTAAAAAAATATTGGGGTTACAGAAGTAAGATAAGTTAATATTTAGAAGGGATTCACAGTTACAAATTACAAACTATCAAAACATTTAAAGGATATTTAACTTTCAAAGATGTATTTTTATTAGGCACATGTTCTTCTGACATGTGCTTTTTCAGTGTCATGCCGGCCTGCTGGAGGATCTAACTATGTTTACAAAAAGTGCTTAAAAAATTATATTAGTTCTAAATGGATGGCAAAGGATATCCCATTCACAAGAATAGAAATGGAAAATATAGCAGAATATTGACTTTGGTTTGCATGTCTGGACTGTAACCCCCATAGACGGGTGGAATGTAATTTACCATTTGCTAACAAGCATAACTTTACAGAAGTATATTAAACAATACATATAATACATATCTAATAAAAATGACTTCCCCCTGATTTCACATAGAAGCAGAAGACTGTATGTGTTATGTATGTATATCTCCTTACTTGAAGTGTCTTCATATCTTGGCATGTTGAATCACAACGAGGTCACTCTAGTCTAGGGACTTCCTCTTCCTCTTTCTCTTCTGAGGGTGCTGTTAAGACAGGAACTCTCTCTACTTCAGCTCCATCGATGTGTATGGGGGCGTGTCTGAATCCAGTAATGAGCGAACTTCCAAAAGGGCTTGTCAATCATATAGTATGAGCGACAGTGTAGCATGTACAAAAATATAAACAATATAAACAGTAATAAACAAAAAACGACGTAATGTATGCGGAGCCATTGTCAGTGCGACCTTTCTCTACGGAGCACCAAACTGAAAATTCTATTTACAACAATAATTTTATTATAATAATAACAATGAACATTATATTAATTATAGAGATTTGAACAAGGATTCTAAAAGAACCTAACTCCAGGTACAACTCCAACACACATGAATTTGCCTGTCTGCTGCCATCTACATTCAGGGGAAGGACGTAGAGGTGGTTCAAGGTTCAAGGGTTCAAGGGTGTTTATTTGTCATTACAATAACGAGTTATGCAATGAAATGCTTAGATCCCGCACTCCCCAACATTGCAATACAATAATAAAAATTTAAAAATAGAAATGTAAGACCTATCTAAGAAATATACATCATATACATCATATAGCACTGCAATTGTAAAAAATAAAAATCCTAGGTATCCTAACGGCCAGTGGGAAAAAGCTGTCTCTGAACCTGCTGGTCTTGGTCTGGACGCTTCTGAGCCTTCTGCCCGACGGCAGCTTGCTGAACAGTCCATGTCCTGGGTGACTAGGATCAGAAATGATCCGCTTGGTTCTCCTCTTGCACCTCAGGGTGTGGAGATCCTGCATGGATGGCAGGCCAGTCCCCGTGATGCGCTCCGCTGTTTTTATAACCCTCTGTAGTGCCTTACGGTCGAGGGAGGTACAACTGCGGTATCATGCGGTGACACATCCGGTCAGGATACTCTCAATAGTGCACCTGTAGAAGTTGGACAGTATCCTGCATTCATGGCGAATCTCCTCAGCCGTCTGATGAAGAGGAGCCGTTTCCTGGCCTCCTTAACCACAGTGTTGGAGTGGAGAGACCAGGTCAGGTCACCGCTGATGTTGACCCCTAGGAACTTGATGTTGTTGACTCTCTCGACTGCAGACCCGTTGATGATAATGGGTGCGTGATCTCCTTACCGCTTCTTCCTGTAGTCCACAATCATCTCCCTAGTCTTGCTGACGTTGAGTTGGAGATTGTTCTCCTGACACCACAGAGACAGTGATCGTATCTCGTCTCTGTAGGCCGACTCGTTGTTATCGGAGATCAGGCCTATAACAGTGGTGTCGTCAGCAAACTTAATGATGGTGTTGGAGGAGTGAGAAGCTACGCAGACGTAGGTGACGAGAGAGTACAGGAGCGGACTCAGCACACAGCCCTGGGGGGAACCAGTGCTGAGGATAAGTGAGGTAGAGGTGGTGTTGCCCATCCGCACCACCTGGGGTCTGCCGGTCAGGAAGTTCAGGATCCATCCGCACAGGGCGGGTGGTCATTCAGGTTCCTGGGGGTCATACAGGTTCCTGGTGGTCATTCAGGTTCCTGGGGGTCATACAGGTTCCTGGTGGTCATACAGGTTCCTGGTGGTCATTCAGGTTCCTGGGGGTCATACAGGTTCCTGGTGGTCATTCAGGTTCCTGGTGGTCATTCAGGTTCCTGGTGGTCATACAGGTTCTTGGGGGTCATACAGGTTCCTGGTGGTCATTCAGGTTCCTGGTGGTCATTCAGGTTCCTGGTGGTCATTCAGGTTCCTGGGGGTCATTCAGGTTCCTGGGGGTCATACAGGTTCCTGGGGGTCATACAGGTTCCTGGGGGCCCAAAGGCTAGGATGGTCAGGTAATACTCATTACATTACAAACAGAACTAAAAATAAATCTGGATAGACCAATTTACCGTTTTTTTGCGTCTTTGAGCTTTCCTCTGGTCTGATGCATAGATTGTAATCCTAAACTCAATAAAAAATTAGACACAAATAATCAGTATCATATGAAAAGTAGACTTTGTAGTCATCCAAAAACAAAGTAATGAATAATTCTCTGTCTTCATCTGTATGAAATCATAATATGTACTGTACTGTAAACGGTACCTTTTTTCCCCTTCTCACAAACACAGATACACCAAATCCAAATGCAGCTGTTATTAAAGCCAGTACCACAACAGCACCACTTATAAAAACACATATAATAACAGTAGTTGGGGTTTCTGGTTCACATTCAGAATCAGACTGATGAGTTCCAGGTTTAATTTGTTGAAGCTTCAATGTGTCACATCTATAATAAGAGAAAATAGGACAATGGTAATGGAGAATATGGTAATAATAATATATTCAATATGTCACATCTATAATAAGAGAGAATAGACCAATTGTAATAGAGAATATGGTCAACCACCTTTCATGTTTACATTTCTGTGTAAATTATTGGAGAATATTATAGATTTACTGTGTGTGTGTGGTTGACAGGATGTAAATGATCCATCTGAATAGGTTTCATCAGTACAGTCAGAACACACAGTATCTGTAGATGGAGTTCCTGTATAAACACATATAACATATAAACATGTAGTCTAACTGGCCAATGACTCCAAATTGTGTCAGAACACACAGTATCTGTTACTGCAAAGATTCCAATTTAAATACATTAACATTGTCACATATCCTAGTACACTGAGGACATCTAGTGGGCTAGGAGGGTATTGGGACACTTATTCACAGTATAACTTTGAGCACATTTATATCTTTCACACCTGATTCAGATGTGGGTGATTAAAGTGGGCACAGCATAATTGCATTTGGTGATTTTGTTTGTTATTTAAGTCTTTCGGTCTTGGTGCACCGTGTTGGTTATTGTTCCTATGTCATTTTGCTTTGTGATATATTGAGGCGAGTGTTTGCTATTGGTTTTTTTGGAGCAGTTGGTTTAGCTCAGTGGTTGAGTGCATGCTTGGAATGTATGATGTCCCGGGTTCAGTCCCCAGTGTCTCCCTGTTGAAAATGAGAATATGTTCTCTATTGGTTCGTTTAACCTACCTGTTTAAATATATATATATATTCTGTTTATCCTAAAGCTTTCACCTTTTATATTACATAATCCACCTCTACACTCTTGTTAAATATCCTGAAGGATTCTAAAAAGGTACATGGTGTTTTGACTGGGTTAGCAATATGAAGTGAAGAGCCTGATCTCTGACATAATGTTTAGCATGTTACTGTGCTACTATACCGACACTGTGTTACCACTGAAGCTCTTATCAAAAGTTCTTATTACTTATTAAATCCTAACTAGAGATGTGCACATAAAGCAGAACTCATTACTTCTTCATGTAGTCTCTCAAGTTACAACAATCACATGTTTTCCTTTTGATGTACACACAACAGCATAGATTGCTGCATGTATTGCGTCACCAAAAAAGTTGAAGATAATACGGGTTCTGTTTCACCAAATGTTATCCTCAGTGTTAACTGTGTGTTTGAGTTAATTATGCATTGATGTCAATGGATTATTTCCATGACAACAGTCTTACCATTCTGTCTGATGTATTGACCAGGTTTACAGCTGCTGTGTCTCTGGGCTGCTTTACAACCATCCTTAGTTGGTTCTGTACAGTAGAACCCCTCCTGTGGCTCACAGACAGTGTCTGATGAAGGTCTACATGGTTGTTTAACCATCAAACCCAAGTCTGGGTCACAGGTTGTACAGGATAAACAAGCTGGAAGACCATTGGGTCGATCAATGTAGGTGGAGCCAATACAGGGGGCACAGGAAGTACTGATAAACTCTGTACAGTGTTTATTTACATGGTTTCCTGTGGGACATTAAGTCGATATTTCATTGAATTTGCATTTTTTGGTACATAATAACACATATAATATGCAGACATGGTCCTTACCTGGTGCACACATGGGACAACATCCATCAGCTATTCTGTATTCAACTGGACCACATGCAGAGGAGGACTTAATGTTTAGAACGATCAAATAGATTCCTAGGCAAATCTGTAAATCAGAGAACTATCAATACAGTTTAAAAAAGTGTTTTGACTATTGTAAAATAGTGTTTCGTAGTGTCATAAATAGTTCATGTAGAATTGAAGAGTTCAGGTTTAACGATATGTTTACATTGGGGAGTGATTAACAGTTCCAAGTTGAGTGGTTAAAAGTTTTCCAATAAAAAGGCCATTTTAAGGAAATGTACCTATTTTATTGAGGAACTATTTACACTGATCATTTGCTATTCAAAGGTCATGTCTACTGGCCAGAAGATATAAATATGTTTTTTATCAGAACTTACTATCCACATCACACCTTCCATGGTTCTGCATTAATCACCTTCTCACTGGAAGATCCACAAGTCCGCAGTTTTTAAATCCCTTTGCAATCCATCTGAGGGGTGGCCACTCTTCTTCTTGCTGTGCTGGGTGAACTTATACTAGTTAATATTTATTAAATGCAGAGAGTCTAATAAAAGTCAAATACATGACCAGTCAGAGAGGAATTGGAACTGTCAGGTAGCATCAGCTGCTCAGCCTGTAACACAACCAGGAGGCCCCAGGAGGGGTCTGCTACATGTCCTTAGGGCCGGTCAGTCCCACAGTGTGGTCAGTAGGCACGGGTCCTTAATGGAAGCAGAAACAAGACACAGGGAAAGGTTAGCCAAGCATTAACCTAGGGACACCAGTCAAACTCAACCACTCTGGGAAGGTTTAGTTTTACACACAGCGTTACTCGAATTGACGTGAACGGCAAAATAGCACAATAGCCAGCCAGTGACTCCACCCCCCAAGTAGGAAATGGGAGAGAGGACATCCCAGGGGAGATGAGAACCTCCCGGCAAAAACAGCAGGACGGAAAATAATATGGAGCCTTCCATTTACCTTCCTACCCCGGGCCAGACTACACTTAACCATAGAACTTAGAGATACGATTTTTTATATTGACTCAAAAGTTTGCGCTGAGTCAGCATTTCTAACCCAGATTGGCAGCTCATTCCATAATAGAGGAGCTCTATAGGAGAAAGCTCTAACTTCAGCTGTTTGTTTTTATATTTAAGGTAAAATTAGGTCAGCATCTTTTGATTATAGGTTACGTGTAGGTATGGCTGGACTAATTCAGCAAGGTAGACTGGAGCAAGTTCATGTAAAGCTTTATATGTTATCAATAGAACTTTAAAGACAGCCCTAGCCTTAACAGGGTGCCATTGTAAAAAGGCTGATACCGGGGTAATGTGGTCAAATCTTAGTCGTACTAATTTGAGTCTGTTTATTGATTAATCAAGATAAATCTTGAGGTAACAAAGGCATGAATGAATTTTTCTGCATCATTATTGGCTTTTTCAATCCTGGAAGGGAACGTCAGCAGTCTATTTTAGAGACAGAACGCCTGTAAAGCAGCAGGGCCTGACTGTGTCTCCTCATCAACTCTCAAGCACTGTGTCTACTGACATCTTTAACACCTCACTGGAGACATTCTGCCCTCTGTCTTGCTTTAAATCCTCCACAATCATCCCATCCTCCAAGAAGTGAAGATTCACAGAATTTTGCAGGGTGAACGTACACAAGGCTGTGTTCCCATGCGTGTGCTCAGTGCATGTGCTGGGGTGCTGGCTGGTGTCGTCTGCCTTCAGACAAACACTCTACATACCAGCAACATCAAGCTTAAGAACAGTTTCTTCCCAGCTGCTGTTACCCTGCTGAACTCTGAAACCTCATGCTTGCCTTACCTCACCTACCTTGTTCTGCATACTACTACTTATTTATTTTACTTCCCATTTGCACAATGCATAGTGTTTGTACTTTTCTAAATGAGGCGAGGGTAGAGAACAATGCATACCTTTTCAGCATACCTGTACAAAACATACAGTGAAGGTATTTAATCCCCTGCTGATTTTGTATGTTTGCCCACTGACAAAAACATGATCAGTCTATAATTTTAATGGAAGGTTTATTTGAACAGTGAGAGACAGAATAACAAAAGAAGCTACTCTAAACTTAACTGCTATATTTTTCCGATATCCCAATTGATTAACGATGAGCGAAATTCAAATCCAAATTTAGAGTAACAGAAAACGTATGACGACCTATAAAATGGTCATCCATTGTTATATTTATTGTAATATAACGGTTGACCACAGGGTACACGGATACAGGACAATCATCCTCTTCCACCCAAGGTAAGTATGATGAGCACAGCCTAACTTCATATCAAGTCTCCATCGTTCACAATAATAAGCCAATTCAGGGTTCTACAATCCCCTTCAGTTCAGTGTTGTACAGTGCCCTTCTTAACCGCTGTTAACATGAGCTGTTCATTCTTTTTGTTGTGTAAAACATAATTTTTATTTTATTTATATTATTTATTTTGTTTGTTGTTGGAAAAGAATAGGTTGGACATTTTGCTGCTGATATTTGATTTTACTGTTCTTATACTTCATAGTACTGTAACACCCCAGGTCGGGATGCCAGATAAGGAGACAGAGTCCGTTGTACAGTAAACTGGGATGCCAGATAAGGAGTCTGTTGTACAGTACACTGGGATGCCAGATAAGGAGTCTGTTGTACAGTACACTGGGATGCCAGATAAGGAGTCCGTTGTACAGTACACTGGGATGCCAGATAAGGAGTCCGTTGTACAGTACACTGGGATGCCAGATAAGGAGTCTGTTGTACAGTACACTGGGATGCCAGATAAGGAGTCCGTTGTACAGTAAACTGGGATGCCAGATAAGGAGTCTGTTGTACAGTACACTGGGATGCCAGATAAGGAGTCCGTTGTAAAGTACACTGGGATTCCAGATAAGGAGTCTGTTGTACAGTAAACTGGGATGCTAGATAAGGAGTCCGTTGTACAGTAAACTGGGGTAGACTTGATCAAACTACAACACACTGCAGTTGGCCACCGTCTACACCCGGGGTGGGCAAACTCAGGCCCGCGGGCCGAATCTGGTCCTTGAGGGAATTCCATCCGGCCCGCGATGGGTATTAAAACAGTTATGAGGGGAGTACAAAATACCTAGCAAGTCCAATTGTCATGTATCTGAATCTGAATTATTATGAGTAATATGTAATAACACACCCACAGTATAAATGTTAGGTGTATACATTTAAATATTGTGCTTTTCTGGCCCACAAATTATTTATAATTAAGAAAATACCAAACAAATGTGGCCCTCCATTTAATTTCAAAGCCCTGATGTGGCCCCTCCCCTACTACAACTGACCTAATGGTAAATGGTAAATGCTGCGCTTTTATATAGCGCTTTTATCCAAAGCGCTTTACATTCTGCGTCACATTCACCCATTCATTCACTCATTCATTCACTGACAACCACGTCAACCATGCAAGGCGACCATGCAAGGCGACTCGCCAGGAGCAGCTGGGGTTAGGTGTTTTGCTCATGAACACCTCAACAATTTCCCAGGAGGAACCGGGGATCGAACCACCTTCCGATTGATAGACAACCGACTCGAGCCACTGCCGCAACCTACGGCCCAGGAACCCCCCTAGACACTATTCCTACATATCACTGTGAATACATCTAACTCTATTACCAGTTAATAGGTATTAACACAAGATAAGACGTTGGGTTAAACAGAGTATTTATCATACATAACAGTCGTCTTTCCAGATGGCAACTAAATTTAGTAAATTGCCCTTATTGGTTTGTTTTGGTTTCCACACCATCAAATTCTGTATTGCTTTGTTACAGTACGAAATAAGAGAGTTAGTTACTTACTTGATTGTGTTGCCTGTCTCCTGTATTGACACCAGTCTATGGTTTAGTTGTGTGGTCTCTATATCCACCGCTCATATATACAGATGATTAAAAGCTTTGGAACTTCACAACGTAGCTCTTAACTTGTAAATATGTGGCGTTCAACGTGGAGGCGTGTCCTGTGCATTTGACCAAAAAGACCTGACATTTATGTGGATTTACCTGACTGCTGCCATTGATTTAGGGGAATGATGTAGAGGTGGCTGAGTCATAGT